CACACTGGGCGCGCCAGTTCAAAAGAGCGCTGGGGAGCCAGGAGAGGAGGAGGAAGCGGGGGCCGTATTAAACCGGAACACGGGCCGCAATTGGCCCGCGGGCCGGTCTTTGGACATGCCTGCTCTAAGCTGAGCGTTTGGGCAGCTGCTCTGGAGAGACTGAAATGCCACCCAGCTGATTAGCAGGGTGCCCATAGCTGGCACCAGCTGGCAGCATGTGTTTCTATTAGTGGTGCACATTCACATGTGCCTTGGTGTACATAACAAAATTTATTCTGCACAAGAATGGGAAAAATTAGAGGGAACATTGATTATGTCTGTTAACCCTGAATGGCTGAGCCTACACCTTGTCTTTTGAGAAATAAAAGCTATTTTGACCAGGACTGGTTCTAGGTTTTTTGCCACTCCAAGAAAACCCTCCCTCCCCCTTTTTTGTTGGCTTTTACACGTTTGCACTTCGCAATTTTTTTCTCGTTTTCATTTTTGTCCTGGGATTTTAGCCCTATAAATAGCAAATATAATTTTAATTCTTTTTTTCCATAAAGGCAAACTCCCCCTCCCCTTTCATTAGCTGCTGGATCACAACAGTCTTTTCTCTGCCCTGTCCAGCCCCTCCCTATGGACAAGCATCCCTCACTCCCAACCCACAGGGAAAGCAGGGTGCAGGGACAGCACAGATCCAGAGGGCAATGGGGAACAGAGGGAGCAGGGTTCACCGTGGGGAATGGGAGGCACAGAGCCAGAGGGGCATGCAGACCGGGGGAAGCAGGGGGACTGGGGTGCCAGGGTGCGCAGAGCCAGAGGGGTGTGGGGAATAGTGTGGAGGGTACAGGGGTGAGGTGGGAAATAGGAGTCGCATAGCCAGAGGGACACAGGGATTCGAGGGAGCAGGGGAGGCACGGGGTATGAGATGCAGGGAACAGGAGGGAGAGAGGGATCGGGGTCCAGGGGCAGTGCAGGGAATGGGGGGCACACACCTAGAGGGGCGCAGGGAAAAGGGACTGCAGGGTGCAGAGGGGGCACAGAGCCAGAGGGACACAGGGATCAGGGGGAGCAGAGTGCGGTGTGCAAGGGCGGTGCAGAGCCAGAGAGTCGGGCACGGGGTATGAGATGCAGGGAACAGGAGGGAGAGAGGGATCGGGGTCCAGGGGCAGTGCAGGGAATGGGGGGCACACACCTAGAGGGGCGCAGGGAAAAGGGACTGCAGGGTGCAGAGGGGGCACAGAGCCAGAGGGACACAGGGATCAGGGGGAGCAGAGTGCGGTGTGCAAGGGCGGTGCAGAGCCAGAGAGTCGCAGGGAACAGAGAAAGCAGGGGG